TAGCCGTAGCTTTTGCTTTTGCTTTTGCCGCTGCCTTGCCTTTTGTTGGCTGGATTGTCGTCGCTTTGGAAATCTGTGTGTTTATTCGCCACGCTCTCTTTCACTCACTCACACGAAAAGACAAAAGACACTGGGGGAAAAGGGGGCATCTGGGGGGAAGAAATCCATTCCAGAAGGCTTCAGAAAAAGAATGTTAGTTCTGTTCTCAAAGGCATCAGAATCTGTTAAAAAATATTTTTGAAATTAGTAGTTCTTATGATTACTTAATTTAAGTAATCCTAACACATGATACATCAGAGAGTTAACTAGATAATTTAATGCAGTTTGCATTGAGTTCAAGATTCTCGAGCGTAATACCAAGTGGATACAACCCGGAAATCTGTCTGAAGGTTATAGAAAACGAAAAATGTCTAGACGGCAAACAGACTGTGACTAAAGAATTATATATACTGAGCTTATACCTACCTTTTTTTATCTCTTTGATTAGGATATACCCCATCTTAAAAACAGTTACCTTTCGATTAAATAATCTTGAATCTAGACCAGTGGTGGATTTTTTTGTTGCATATTTTTTGAATATCACATTTCTTGTACTTTTACCCGAGTAGGAAGATTTATCCCCCATATTATCTGGACGATCGTTTTTAGAACCATTTAAAAATATAAAAATATTATAAATGTTTGAAAAAATAGAAAACATCTTTAAAAATCTAAATTTAAGGTTCTCGAAATTCTATTAAAGGTATCCCTTAGTGTGTAAGTGAGTAAGAATTTTAAACGATAAGATTTTCGGTTTTTCTCAGTGCAAAATCCGCAGACTGGGAGGTGGGGCGGCCAGACACGCTCTGTAAAGTCATTAACAGATGCTGATTTGATTACAATTGTGTCCCCTTACTCTCTGTTTATCACCCTGCTTTCTGTTTGTTTGGCTGTCTGTGAATTTGTGAGTGTGCAAAAGCCAAAACCAAAGCCAAATGTCTGGGACATATCAATTGCGGGCGATTTCCCATATCAATCAGTGGCGCGGAGTGCCGAAGAGTATCCAAGGGCTAATCAAAACATAATCCAGGCAAAGCCCGATAACGCCCGTCACCACTCGAGTGGGCACTCCGCCTTACATCCCCCATAAGTACACCTGGCCATATCAATCAAAATATATAGTGCAGACCCCGCGGAAGCGAGAGGGCTATATTAAATGGTATGGTGGGTGTTCGTTCTTGTCTTTCTTCATTATGCATGCGCCCGTCTGTATTTATGTAGGTACCCATGTGTGTATGTATTTATTTGCTTAATATTGTTTGGCTGTGGCTCGCTTTTGTTTTGCTTGCGTAGCTGAAAAAGCATGTGATCCCGGCGAGTGCCCCGCCCCCTCCCCCTCTCCCTCGGGCCCTGCCCAGAAATAATGAAAATAAAAGCTAAAGCAAAAAATATCTGAATAAACAACGCTTCTGCTGCTGCCTCTTCGAGCGATAAGTCAACTTAGCGGCCTTTCGATAATTGTTTTCGCGCTGATCTCTCCTCTTGGCCAGGTCAGCAGCCCAGGGCGCCTTGTACCTTCTGGCATCTGACTTTCTGGCCCCATATGCATATGCTCACGTAGTCATTGTCGTAGTAGAAGTCGTAGTCCCCCAGCGATCAGGGCTGCTGACAAAGTCCATTTAGGCGGGTAAGCGTTGAGCACCCTACACAAACAATAGTGGGGTATTTTTATATCTTTATCAACATAAAATTATCTTTAAACTTTTATATCTCCACTTTAAATTTAACATGCGGACGAGAAAACGGTCCTTAGGGTATGATATTTTTTTTTTTATTTCTCATGTTAAATTTAAAGTAAGCTTTAAACTGTGAGTTCCCATATAATTTCAAGGTTTAAGAAAACGGTTCTTAAGGTATAATACTTTAGGACACGTTTTTTGTCCGCATGTTATATTTAAAGTAAGCTTTAAACTATAAGTTCTTGAACAATTTCAAGGTTTAAGTTCTAAATATTAAAAAAAACTTATTTTAATAACAAATCTTCAGTATCTTCATTTAAAATGATAAATTATATTCCTTTGTCTGAATTTACATTTTAAATTTTAAATGATTTTCATAGAAACTAAAGAAACGACAAAATTAAAAACCTGAAAATCACCTGTGTAATTACATTCCCTAGAGCATTTAGCCTTCGACCGAAAACCACCGAAGAATGTCTTTAATGTCGTTATTAAATTTTGGCCATATGTCTTTCAACTAATCCATCAAACAATCATTCATCGCTGTCTCTTGACTTTTGGCCGAAAATATTTTTTTCCCTTTCTCTTTGCCATGTTTATGTGTGTGCTTGGTTTATTGTTATTATTATTTTTATTTTTTAATTTTTAAACAACATATTAACACATCAAGTCTATGACAAGCAACAAATGGTGGCCACATGATGCTCGTCCGACTTTTGGATTCCACTTGGGGGGTTTGGGGTTTTTGGGGTTCGGCTTCTTTCGGTTATGTTCGGTTTTGGGTGCGCAGCTGGACGAACGACGAACGGATGGATCCGATCCGATCCGATCCGAGAAATCATGTGAGCGGCGCTCCAATTTGGATGCCCCATGTCGCGGCCCCGAAGTCGCCTCGTTGAGGATCGTTGCTTGTATTATCTGCATGAGTGTTTCAGCGTACTGCCCTCGTATATGTACATATGTACCTATATCATCGATTGGCCAGGCAGGCGGGCCTTATTATAATGCATATGCGAGTGAGCTCGTCGCTCGTCTCGCTCTGACGAGTGGGCACGGGACCTGGGCTTTTCATTCCCCGTTCCCTAGTTCCTCGGCTCCTCGGTTCCTCAGTTCCCGAGTTCTCGAGTTCCCAGTGCGATCGCGAGCGCCTTGAACTTCATTTGCTGACTAGCATCGCGGCCATAAAGATATCGACGCGTCGTCGGTCCGCGTTAATCGGGGGTCCAACGGTAAATGTTACAGTTCAACTTCTCCAACTCCAAAATAGGTATTTTGAAAAAAAGAAAGAGAAAATTAAATTTAAAATTATAGTAATTATAATTTTTTTAATGGATATTTAAACAGCTTTTTCATTTCCAGAAATAAAACAACAAAAATAATTGATATTTATAAACCTAATAATAATAATAATATTGTTACCTAAATTGAGGAGTAGTTATTCCTCCATCATAGTAATTCATTTCGTGACTTCTTTGTTAGTAAATAAAGAATTTGTTTACACTTTAATTTGCAAAATCTCTCAAGTAAATATTGAATTTTAGCTTGGTTATCAATTTGTTGATAAACTCAAATAATACATTTAATAATACTAAAGGTCTTATTCCGGTGAAATTAGAATTTTTGCCTTTCGAATTCCAAGAAATGGTTTTCCCACCTAAAAAGCTTTAGATGTTACAATCTACTTAACAAAGAATTTGTTCTATTGTGAAATTATAGATAGGCAAGGTCGAGTGGGAGAAGTACGACTATCGTAACTAAGGAAATTTCCTTTCCGGCCAGACAGTTGGCGCTATCGCGAAGCTGCAGGTGGAATTACCCTTTGTCGCATGCATACGCCGCCCTTCAAATCCAAGTAAGCAAGTAAGCACGGTCAATAAATTGGCCCCGATCCGGGAAAGCCGGACATTGGACAGCCGAGGACAACAAAGGGACCGCCGGCTGGTCAGTTAGTTCTCCCACTATATGTACTTATATCCACTATATCAGTGGGCCCTCGTGACCGGGCCAAACACCAAAAAAACACCTTCGTAATCGCTGTGCGTGCGGGCTCCCCCCTTCTTATCGCGGGGTTGTAAAACATTTATTAAGCTCTAAAACTAGTTCGCCCACTCCCCCTCCCATTTAAAAGCCAACTCCCCGCCCCCTGAAACGGCAAACGACTATCATCAGTTGGGCTAATTGTTAATTATAGCGCTAATTTCGGAAAAGGCGCCTTCTCAAAGTTAGCGCTACTTAGACAAGCCATTTATAAAGCCACTAAAAATAAATTAGCTCAAATCTGTTGTACGAGCTTTAAATCGAGTACGGCGACTGCCGATTTGTCTGGCATGTGGAGTGGATTTCTAGTGGGTTTATTGGGTATTTTGGAGGGGGTACCACATCATTACCGTTGACAGGATCCGTCAACAAGTTATGTATTTTATTTATTTTATTTTAAAATGATTTTGCACCATTGTTTATGAGTCACTTTTACCCCTGGAAACTGGAATTTAAACCAAATAGTTTAGAGCATATTACCTATTACATTTTACCTTTGCGTTGTGAAATAATATTTAGATATTTTTATTTATTTCTAAAAGTTCTTAAATACATATTGTAAAAGTCTTCATTGATAACTTAATTTGTAGCTGCTGAGATATACATATCATTTGCTGGCACTACTTAGATCATCCAATTATAGAACTGACGAAAATAAATTGGTTTAATTTAACATTCGACTTTGCCGTCATGTGACTAGTGACACCTTCACTTTCCACAATTCAGAGAGTTCAAAGTTCAGCATTAGTGGGTTTTAGGCGGCCTTATCTTTCGACATTTTGGTGTTCGGGGTGTAAAAGATTTGTCGACAGTACTCAACGTCGTCCCCGCTCTTTTATGGGGATGGGGCATGAGTAATCGTCACGTGCCAACTGAGGGGTCGCTATATATAGAGCACAGCATTTGCCATTTTATCGACGACAATGAACAAGCACAGAGAATACGAGATCTGTTCGAGATGTGCGCATTATAATGAACCTCGTCTGGTGTGGGAAACAGTGGGTGGCATTTTGACGACCTTCTAGTGGAACTCTAGAATCCCAATTTTAGGTGCTATCGAATGGCAAATAAGGTGTGGTAACAAAAAGTAAAATAACTGGGAGATATAATATATGATATTATATATATTAATTAATAGCAACTAATAAAATAATCCATTTAAGGACAATTAATGTATGAAATATTTATTATTTGAAATTTCTTCCAATAGAAATAACCTTTTGCATTTATTATCCTTCCTTGCAGTCAATTCCCCTTCGAGGGCAGCCAGGTGCGAGTTCTGCTCTACAAAGAGGATGACAGCCGGCGACTGCTCTTCGACTCGAATGCCCTGCAGAAGGTGACGCACAGGGACTCATCGGGCGCATCCGCATCCGTATCATCCTCATTATCCTCAACGAGTGGCGGTGGAAAGTTCCTTAAGAATGAGAAGTACACATCGCTGCAGAATGGCAAGATCCAGTCAAAGGCACATTCCAGCAATGGCAGCAACTTCATCGAGGTGTGCGCCGAGTATGGTTATAAGGTGAGTCATCCGATGATTTAATATATTCCAACTTCTAGGGTGGGTACTGAAAATTATAGTGCACTTAAATATCAGTAGTGACTTAATTTCATCAAAAAAAAAGTCATGTCACCGTAAAATCGATATGTGCATGTAAATGTCTGGTTATGCATAACCCATATCGTTTTTACATGTAATTTACCTGGCTCCATTTCCAGTTAAATGTAAAATCGATCTATAGTTCATATCGATTTTTTTTTGGGTGTTTTCATTTATATATTTTCCAAACTGTTATTATAGCTTAGAAGTTGATTAATGAGAAGTTAACAAAATAGATTTCGGACTAATTTATTTAATATTTTTTTACTTTACCAGCATAATCGACCCTCTGGAGCTGACATCACACCGCTGGGCGAGATGGTGTTTGGCTCGCTGCCGATGTCCTTTTGCGGAACGGCCCTGAAGGTGCACTGGCTGCCGGAGCCGGCGAGGATCCTGTGCTCCCAGGTCTACCTGACGCCCACCGGCAACGGAGGAGGCTCTGCAGCCAGCAGTCACTCGCCCTACTCCACGCTCTCCACGAACAGCCTGGCGACGCCGCGCACCTCGATATGCAGCGAACACGGCTCCATGGATGGTCTCTCGATGAACTCCTTCTCGATGCCCTTCAGCGTGAGTGTGGGTCGCCAGATGAGCCTGACGCCACCGTTGGACGTTCCGGCAGCGCCGGCGGACCAACAATCGCTGTCCATCCACTCGATTGACTCGAGCGGCCCTCGTTACTCCTCCACCTACAGCACGGCCACGGATTCGGGCTATTCTGCGAGTGGGAGTGGCAGTGCAGCTGGCGGAGATCAGTGGTCCTATCAGTACTCATCGACGCGCAGCAGTCTGGGCAGCGTGCTCTCCGATCAGTCGGATGCGATGCGAAAGCTGAGCATGGACTCGGCCTGCTACACGGGATCCTCTCCCTACCTCGACGGATTCGCCAGCGATGGCTGCCTGCAGCGAAGAATCTCGCGCAATTTGCGCACCTCCTTCGAGAATGAGCATTCCAAGAACGATTTTATCGGCTTCCTCAGCGACAATTACGTGGTTGCATCGGGAGGAGCTGGAGGAGCTGGAGGCGGCGGCGGCAGCGAGGGTGGCGGAATGGCTCCACCGCAGTACCGAAGGGCCAGCTATTGTGCGAACGAGTCGCGAAGTAATCCGGAAATGGGCAGGCGGCAGGCCAACCTGCGACGCAGGGCGAAACTGGGCCTGGCCGTGTGCATCTCGATGAGCGAATCCTTCGAGGAGGAGATGGAGCTGTTCTGCAGCGAGCATATCGCTCTGCTGGAATCGATGCTTAGTCGGCTGAGGGCCAGCACAGAGCATGCGTACATCAATCACAAGAACTTTCTGCAGGTAAGGATCACACAGACACAATCCTGAAAATTAAAAATAACCAGGATTTTTTGTGCGATCCTCAGATCATGTTTCAGGCCTGGCAGGACACGCAGCAGTGGTTCAGCGATCTCTTCACCGCCCCGCGCATCAAGACGCCCGTCTGGCTGAGCATCACCACCAGCGGCAGCAAGTACTCAAAGACTGTGGCCGAGAGATTCATCAAGGAGCTCTGCGACCTGCTCTCTTTTGCCGATACCAAGGACTCTAATTTGTAAGTTTACTAACCCCTTAAATATTCATTAATTAATAATAATTTCCCCATTCCTTTTCAGCTTCATCAGCACCATGTTGACGGGGATTCTCACACACCATTTGGGCTGGGTGGCCACCGTGTCCGCCTTCAACAGCGCCGGCTTGCGTCGCTCGGAGTCCTCCGCCTCGGCGGCAGCCATCGAGCAGCGGGCCAAGCTGCTCCAGGTGGCCCAGAAGCATCCGTACAATGCGTTGTGGGCGCAGCTGGGCGATCTTTACGGAGCCATCGGCATGCCGCCCAAGCTGGCTCGCACCATTGTCTGCGGAGCGGAGAAACTCTGGGTGGAGAAACTGCTCAACGTGCTGACCTACTTCATTCGCTGCAGCGAGGTGCGGCGAGCGGCCAAGCGGGAGGATTTTAACAAGCAGCTGATCAACGACCTGGTTGCCCAGAGCCAGGCCCAAAATCAGTCGAGCAATCAGGAGCGGCACAAGAGTCCGCCGACGCAAATGCGTGGATTGAGCAGGACGGCCACCTGCAAGCAGAATCTAAATGCCATTGTCGATGAGAATGCAGACGATGAGAATGGCGAACTGAATGGCTACGATGGCGGGGAGGAGAACGAGAACGGTGAGCTGGACGCATTGGACTCTGGCGATGGGATGCAGACGCTGAAGAAGAACGAGATTCCCACTGTGCTGGCCTTCCGGGACTCGCACTTTGTGCAGCAGGAGCTGCGTATCGGCAACTATCTGATGGACACGGGCATTGACAAGAAGACCCTGTTGGCGCGGCAGGCGCAGCAATATTTTCGCACCGGCAAGGACGGCCGGATCCGTTTGACCGTGACCACGCCGGACAACGTGGAGCTGTGCATGGAGGAGGAGCAGTCGAGCGGCACGGGCTCTGTAAGCACGGGATCCGTGGACGACGGGGCCATCGAGGCGATCGACTATGAGGACAACGTGGAAGCGCCGCCCAAGAAGAATTTCTTTTGGAACATGGTCCCAGTTGCGGGCGTTAAGGAGGGACTGAGTCTCAGCGATCTGGCCAAGCTGCAGCAGGGAATACGGATCATTAACCGCAAGCTGGAGCGACGCAGCAGCAGCTACTCGGTTGAGGGTAATCCCGACCAGCAGCAAAGCAAGACGACAGTAGGCGACTTTGAGCCACTTAGCCACGAGAGACGCGCATCGCATTTGTCGCTCTCCGATCTGATCACGCAGAACAGCATGGGCAAGAGCGATCGCATGACCTGGGGCATCGAGCCCATCAAGGAGAACGTGAGCCTGGAGGAGCAGATCCACTTCGATCACTGCCACAAACTAATCGAGCGGGAGCACGGCATCTGCCGCCAAACATCGGCGGACAATGGCAACGGTGTTGTCTTTGTTCTCGGCGACAATGAGCCGCTGATCAACCTGAAGAAGAGCAGCGAGGATCTGAGCGGAGATCAAGATCAAGCCAAGCCCACGCTGATGCTGTGCGCCCAGCATCAGCGCACCCACGACCGCAGTAAACACTCGGGCATGAAGTTTAACTTCGAGCAGTATCCGCAAATTGCCACCAACTATATGAAGAGCAAGAACCTTCTGATGTCGAACTATGATCTGCTAATGGACAAGGCCACCAAGCTGGAGGCCAGCGAGGCAGCTGCTCTCAAGGGAAGCGATAGCACGGCCACGCTGGCGGCTAGCAGTAGCTCCACGGCCGCACTGCCTCCTCCGGCCACTCCGGTGGCCGCGAGTAGCGATCGTTGCGTCGTGTGCAGCAGTGGCGTTTCGGCCACTTGGAACCAAACGCCTTCCAACGCCACCGAGCTGGAGTTTGAGACCGATGAGGTGCACTGCTACAATCAGAGTGGGATCGGTAATGGATCCAGCTCGAAGGTCTTGCAGGCTGTCAACTCGGCCGCCTCCATAGATACGCTCAAGTCGGCGGTTGCCGTTGAGCCAACGATTCCCACCCAGATGCAGACCACCTATATGCGCAAACAACAGCCAAAGCGTGTGCCTTCTGGTCGCAGTTCGGTCTCCTCGGTGGCCGCCAAGTGCGCGGCGGTAAATGTGTCACAGCAGATGCTAAAGCTGCCTGTTCCGGGCGTCAAGGAGCTGCCGCAGGACGATGACTCCCCGGGCGATCAGCTGCGGGCCGGTTTCATTCCCTCGCTGCTGCTGAGCGTCAGCGATCACTACGTCTCCGATATGGTTCTCCAGGTGGGTGACTCAATCACTCATGGATCTTTAATTGTTACTAATTATGTCATGTTAATTTCGTAGGGAACTTGTGCGCCGCCTAACAAATGGGAGATGCATCTCCGCGAGGATCTGGCGCTGGCCGCGCGTTCCGCCTCGCTAATCTCACAGCCGGCGGAGAACATAGCCATCGTGGCGGACATGGACAAGTGGGATGTGCGGCTCATCTCGTCGCAGACGCAGCAGTTTCCGTACGCCGGTGGCCAGAGCTCGCCAGTGGGCATGTCCCAGCTCGTGTCCAGCATGCTGGAGACGGTGCAAGCCATGCATGCAGGTGGAATTCCCGCCTACGAGGTAGATATGCCAGCATTTTTACTTCGCAATCGGTCTTTGTTAATTCGGAATTGGTCTTTTTTCAGTGCCTGTCGTTCCTGGAATCAAAGCTGCAGGAAATCTACCTGCAATCGGAAACTTTGGCAGCATTCCTGCTGGAAACGGACCCTTGCCGGCTGAGCGACATCACCAATCCGCTGCAGCTCTCCGAAAACGATGTGCCGCTGCTGCTGTCGATCGCATATATACACACGCCCAAGATCAGCCGCAAGTGCGGCATCAGCTTCAGGTGACAGGCTGTCGCCGTCTGCTGAGCCTGAGCCAGGACATTGCCAAACATTCTACCAATTATCAACCTTCAGCCGAGCTCTTCTCATGCATCATCCAAAGCGAAACAAGCAAATACTCCAGCGAATTTTATTTTCACTGATTTTGTGATATATATTTATACGTGTATGAATCTAGCGCTTAAAAGCAGGATACGTTAGTGAGCCATAGCTTAGCCTTAGCCCCTCGAACGGAGCCGATCTGATCTGATATGATATGATTTTGAACAGAAACGATTGGTTTCATACTATTTTAATCGCCCGGTGTAAACGGGTCGTTCATCGAAATTTACCACATCCACTCATCGCGGTCACATGAAGAAGTATTGTAAATTATCCGGGTTAGATTTAGCCGGGCCAGATTGCGTTGGCGTCGGCGGTGACGATGATGATGACGACTCCGGCTTAGCAGCACTCGAAAAGCCCTGCTATCGGATCGATCGATCGCCAAAACATATCTTGCCCCGCCCCACTTTTGTAGTGCTTGATTTAGATTTAATAATTTATGACAGCAGTAATATAATCGTAGCATTAATTGTATAAGTTTACAATACCCTAGGGATGCAGTGCAGCTAATAAATAATATATGTATAACGAATTATAGGAAACAACTAAACAAACAAATAAATCAAATCAAAATATGTATATATTTTTTTGAAGAAGAGAATATACAACAATTTTTAAATGAAATAACCAATGAGTTTTATTTAGATAGCACGTGGGATATTTTCTTATCTTGACGAAGTAAAAAACCAGTGACGAACGTACCTTAAACTTATGGACAAAAATGGTTAAACATTTGAATAAACAAATACTGTTATTCTAATATTTTAGCTGGAATTAGAATGTAATTCCGCTCTGAGTTCGTAATTCAATTCAAAATCGATTGGCGTTAAAAAAAGTGTTGTAAAATGGATAAATTTTACAATCGGATACTTGGCAACTCTAAATTATCGATTATCGTGATTGTGCATCCCTGGAGATCAGACCACAAGGACAAACGTCACAATTAATAACCTAAAAACGAAACCTTAAAGTTTGTGAAAGAAAATGAATACGTCGGACGTTCCGTGTAAGAAATTTTCCATCGCTTTGAATTCGGTAGCATCAAAGCTGATGTGCGAGCCAAAAGATGATATTCCGGACGAGCTCTTCAAAGTGCAGCATCGAATTATGGAAAATCTGAACTGGGCCGGAAGGTCGGACGGGATGTTGTACACTTTTGGCGTGATGGGTAAGCAGATTAGAGACTCTGTCCGGTAGAGAAATACATAGTGGTTAACATTTCAGGAAACTCTTCGGAGGCCATCACGAAAATATGTGAAGCCAGGTATGAGTTTCAAATAAACGTGGAATTTCCCTTTGAACTTAAACCCATCAAGGATGAGCTACGCCCTGGATTTGTGATGCTTCAAGCTGGGGAGCTGGTGGAACATCCAGCCGTTGTCAACGGGTTTCTCCACCGGGATGCCTTTAGTAGCTGGTTTTTCTCCAACATAAGTAACGACGAGGAAAGAATCCAGAACTTTTCATTGAACAGTGACGAGTTCAAGATGAGTTTCTCCCTGATTAATCTTCGCACGTCCTCGCAATTGATGTGTAAGCCCGTGTTGCAATTCGACTTCTCCAAGTGGCCTCTACCATATCCGGAGGTTCCCGAGGGCGGTCTCAGTCTGCGCAACCATCCCTGGTACGCCGTTCCCAGGGCGACTGTACCCTTGGACAAGCGGAGCTTCATGGTCTGGGCCCCGGACTGGGAACGCTGCCTTATGGAATCGAATTGCCATGCGAACAAGGTGCTGCTTATGATGGGCGAAGTGCTTAAACAGCAGGAGATCTTCCTCCCGATCGATGTGATCAAGACGATTATATTGCGGAACATTAAGGTGCTGCCATTCGACCTGGGCGACTGCTTCATAGCGGTCCTGGAGGCCTTTGTCAATCACTTGCAGGCGGGCAAAGTGTCGCGATTCCTTGTGGACACCGTGGACATGCTTCAAATCGGATCGAATTACGAGGCCAAGATTGAAAAGTACCATCACAGCGCATCCACTCTTTTGAACGCATTGAAAGATGTCAAGTCCCGAGCTCTGGCCGATGAGATCAAAACTGACGGGGAGAGCCAATGCTCCTCCAATCCCGATGGCTGGATTGAGGGCTTGAACAGTCTATTCTATCTTAATGTCCCGGATATACATAAATTCATATGAGGGCTTGAAATAGTCTATTCTATCTTAATGCCCCGGAAATACATAAATTTATATGAATACCGAAATAAAAGAAAGGCCTAATCGCCTATTATATAAATGTTATTTGGCAATTACCTTCAAAATGCTTAATTTTGTAGTATTTTTTATTTTATTTTTAATTACTAAACGGTTATACATACATAAATACAAGTAATTCCTATTGCTTAGTCAGTAGGGAAAGAAATTATTTTAAGATTCCCGATTAATCAACATAAACATCGATTTAAACAATTATCACATTTCCTAAAGTGTTCGGCTATTTATGGTAGTTCACTTAGAGTTCGGTTTTGTTTTTGCGGACTATGAAGTTGGCGTTACTCGCGTGCTCATCGCATTTCTCGACTTCACTTGCCCTTCTGTGACTCCAGGTAGGTCGCCGTGAAGGTGAGCAGGCGGTGCCGTTGCTTCAGGTTGCGAGCACGGACATGGGCCGAGTTCAACTCCTCGGTGTAGCTGCCGGGGAACCAGCCGACGGCGCCATCCCGTATCCTCTCGCCCTGGTACCAGCCTTTAAAATGGGTAAATAATTATCATCTTTAAGGTTTCCAGAATTTCAGAGTCACTTACCATCCGGCAATTTGCGGGAAACATTGACGACGTCGCCCAGTTCCAGTTGGAGGACGTCCGGCTCATCGGACTCGTAGCCATGCTTGGCCACCACCTGAGGACAGTCCCAGGACTCGTACAGCTTCTCGCCGGGCGTCTCCGCCTCGGGCGGTCTCATGGCCTGCAGCCAGCGCTGCTGATCGGAAACTGAGGGGCAGGACAGCACCTGCAGGATAAGGGGAATTAATGCTACGCTTGACATATAAATAAGAGTTAAGTAAACCCACCAGCTCGACGGTCTTGCGATCGCTGTTCTCCAGCAGCGTCATCAGGATGAGGTTCTTGCCCACCTGGTCCTTGAGGTCCTTGGTGGGCAGCTGGGGCAGCGAATCGCCGGCGGCGAGGGTCAGCATGCTCCGGGGGCAATAGTCGAAAACAGTGAAGCTGGACTCGCCACGCCGCTTGCACAGCAGGAGGAGATCCGAGAAGAGGAAGGCGTAGATGCTGGCCTTGGTCAGGCGCTTGCCGAAGGTCAACTTGGCGTCCTCGCCGCGCCACATCAGGTGGGTGAGCTCGCCGCGCTTGACCAGATACCGCGGCTTCGAGCCCGCCCTGGGCACGCCCACGGGGGCAATGGCCAGTGCCCGCACATGGGAGGGGAACTCCAGCTGGCGGGCAATCCGTTCCAGCTCGAAGGCCTGCTCCCAGCGATTGGCCGCCTCATTGCACTGGCCCACCAGTTTCTGGACAAGCGCCAGCGTCAGTTTCCATCCCTCGTACTCCTCGCGATTCAGAGGCGACTCCTTGCTGAACACCGCATCGATGAGGAGCGGCAGGCGGGTGATCCTCTGCATGGGCAGCATCAGGAACGAGTGCAGATTGAGGCCACAGCAGCTGGGACTGGCCTCCAGCCGTTCGAGGTGCTGCTGGAAGGCCAGCGAGTCCTTGGACTCCTTCAGGCGGCGCAGCGTCCGGTCCATCCGGCCCTGATGCTCACAGAAGGCCACGTAGACGTGGAAATGCCGCTCGGCAATCTCGTAGATGCAGCGACTCAGGCCCAGCAGCATGATGTTGTCCTGCCAGCAGGCCTCCAGTTCCGTGAGCAGCCGCTCCGAGCACTCGTGCACGGGCACAATGTACGAGAAGAGCGCCTTCCGGTCCTTGGCACTCAGCACGGACGTGTCCACGAAGGCGCTGTGGTTCATGAAGTGCCGACGCAGCAGGTTCAGCGACTTTAGGTAACTGGCCTCCGACGTGATGATCTCGAACTTGGCCTCCTGCAGACTGCGCTCCCGACTGGTCAGGGTGGCTGAAATAAAATGGTCAAGAGTTAAGTTAGTTGGTGGCTCTAAATTACTTGTTGAAATGCCTAAAGATGCAAATTTAAAAAGTTATTTTGGAAATTGTAAGAATTTAATTTTCAATATGGGTCCATATCATATCATATCAGAAAACCTATTAGGTTTTAACTTTTTACTAACTGTATCCAAATTTTAATAACTTTTTAATGAATGGTCCGACTTGAAAAATGTCTTCTACATTTCGATAGGTATAAATATACACAACAAAATTGCATTTATACTTCTCGGAAATCTTTAAAGGTGTGGGCGCCCGACACATTTTAAAATAGTTAGTGGGCGATTGTGGGCGTTAGAGGGGGCGTGGAGCTCGGCTGAAATAAACTTGCCCTGCGTAGGAAGCCCAAGAATATGTGTGGGAAATCTCAAGCTTCTAGCTTTTGTAGTTTCCGAGATCTCAGCGCTTATAAACTTAAAGTTCTAAAGGATTACTTACGCAGTATGCAAGAGTGTATGACCTCGGGGATTTCGCACCACAAGGTGCGCGAAGGTCCGTTCTTGGGCTCCACCAGCTGCAGGGCAGTGGGACGAGGCTTGGCCAGCGGCTCTTTCTTAGCCTTGGCGTGCTGGCCAATCTCCTCGTAGCCATCCGAGGATCCATGCGCCTCCAGGTCGCGGGTGATCGACTAAAACGATTGTATATTATAGGTACAGGTTATGTCATATAAGGAGAATCCACTCACCTCCAGCTTGGCGGCACTGTACATCTGGTACAGAGGTTCGTTGGAGAACAGACTGTGTGGCTCCGAGGACAGCTCGTCGCCCATTCCCGCCTCGTTGCCGGTGGAGACCCCTGAGCTGCCGCTCGAACTGGCCACGGATATGCCGCTGGTCTGGTAGAGGCCCGACTCCGCGTACCAGGAGCTAACCCCGCCATGACCGCTGGGCGTAGGCGTGACCGGTTCGTCGCCACGCGGGGAAACGGCAGCACTGGTGGCCTGCTTGAAGACTCCGCATTCGGCATACCACGAGGTGGTCTGCCCAGCCTCCTGCTCTCGCTCCGGATCCGTTGCTCCTGTGGTTCCTGTTCCTGGTGGAGGCGGCGGCGGAGGAGGAGGATCGTGCGGTCGCAGGCCGATGGTGGTGCGACGCCTACTGGCCTTCGCCTCCTTCTTGGCCTTGCGAGCCACCGTGGAGAACTTCTGCGACTCCGCCGACGGCGTCGTGCAGTTCTTCTCGGAGAAGCCCGAGTCCAGTTCGCCGGAAACGCCGTGGATCTCCGGCTCCAAAGGCAGGGCAGGCAGCGATCCTTCGGGATCCTCCACATAGAAGGTGCTCCGCGTGGCGGCCAGCGAGGAGAGCTGCTTGGTATCGAAGCTGGAGCCGACCAGGCTCTTGCGCAGGCGGGAGCGAAGGCTCTTGCCGTTCTTCTGCTTGGCTCTCAGCACCGGAGCCTGCTCCTGGTGGCCCTTGGTGGCAGGATTACGATCTGGTCCGTAGTCGGTAGCTTCGTACACCTCCTCCGTTCGCCTGCTGCTCTCCACGTAGAACTGCGTGGCCGCCGCCGGCGGGGTATTCTCGTACAGCTTCTGCTGACTGCCTTTGGGAGATTTCTTGCTGGAGATAAAGTCCTTGAACTTGCGCACGAATTCGTACACCTGGTTTTGTGGAGGCGGTGGCTTCGGCAGGCGATGGTTGCGCATATCCACGCCGCTGTCGTTGTGCTGGAATTGCAAGGCGTCGGATTACTTTAAGTGAGTCTTTGGGATGAATTCAACTCACGTTTCGTAGCCGCTGGTCGGGCTCTCCATCGCCGTGATCGTCGCTATCCGTCTCGAAGGAGTCGTAGTCATCCGAGATGACCACGTGCTCGCCCAGCGTGTGGGCGGATGCCGAGTGGTTCTTGCTCCGGCGGTGCGAGGAGCGCACCCCTCCGCTGCGACTCGCATCCTGGCTGTGGCGCATCAGCTGCGTCGAATGGCGTTTGTTTCCGAGTGGCGACAGTGTCTCGTAGTAGTGGTCTGAGTCATCTGAGCGGAGGAAGAAAAAAACAGTTTAGTATGCAGCTATTTCCTGGTACCGGGCTTATAAATGGGTACACTTAAAATATATCTATAAATTAAACTTATAGGAAAGAATAGGATGATGGTAGTCAAGGTTAAAAAATTATTTACTTATATAACTTTCGTATTATAAATATTTTAACTTCAATTTTTCATTTTTAAAATTCCTGAGTAATTTATAAAAACTTGATAAATTATATGATATAATAAAAATTAATTTATAAAAATAAAATTTAGATGATTCTTGACTATTACAAATTTGTTTCAGTTTTAAAATTCTTTGATGCACTAATTTGCATACTTTAAGTTTTTTTTTAAGAACTCGTGTTTTGCTACACAGAGAACATTTTTCAAGAAGACTGACGTTCTCAAATTAAGTATTTGTATTCTCAATTTGAGGAAATACTGATTTTGTGGACAAATTTTGAAAAAAGAAGCCTATTTCTTTCATTATGTTGTTTCTCTCTTATTTGTCCCCGTTTTTTGAGAAAAAAATCTGTAAAAAGACTCAATTCCAAGGTATTTTATTTAAAAAATTGGTACTGAAAGTGAGTGTTTTGTACTTAAAGTGAGTACTTGGTTTTATTTTAAGTAGAAAATTCTCAGTTTAAGTGCACCGTTCATGAAAAATTCTCTCTGTGTAAAGTTCTTTATGGGAATAAAATGACAAATCTTGGAATTTTTTATAAAAAGAGTTAGTAAATATTTGAATAATTTTATAAAAATAAGTATATGAATATTTGTAGATTGTAGAACCAGAACGAACCTATGAAAGTGCTCACTGTCATGGTGACCTTTGCGGAATTTTCGCCCCCCTCCCCGTGGGTCACCCGCATGGAGGTCAGCAGGTGGGGTCGCTGGTGGGCGTGGCTGCAGCGCTGGCTAATGGCCGCCGCCTCGTTTTGGTAAATGGGTTCGGGAGCGGGTCGTGTGGGTTCGCCGGACACGGGTCCGTTAAGATAGACGCTGCTGGTGTTGCCCTGACAGGTGACCCCCACCTCGCCGGCGGCTCGGGGTCGCCGTTTGCGGGGCAAGGTCACGGGGTCGGCGGTATGACCGCTGCTGCTCAGACTGCCGGAACAGCTGAGGCGCTGGCCGTTGCTGCGATTCAACGCCGACATCTTGTCACATCTTTGGGGTCACAAGTCTGTCAGCATCAACAGAATGAATCACTCAATTGGACAAACTCCTGAACTCGAAAACTATTTCCTCCAAGAGCAAAAAAATGATGTTATTAAAATATTAAAAAAAATCTGATTTAACTAGAATTTTATCTTTATAAATTCTTGGAGGAAATAGTCTGATTAATTCTGCGGCTCTAAATTTGAGAAATATTTCAATCGTATTTGGTATTCTTGATTTTCAATGTGATTTTTCCGGGTGATTATTATGTATCTGCTTTTTTCGAGTGTGGAGCTTAAGCTGTGGTATTCTGAACTCTGTTCTTACGAAAATGCACTCAATTGAAAGCAATTAAAGCTGCTGCAGCAATTGTCTGCCCTTTTTTGATTGACCAATTCAGCCCACTGTCCGATATGCTAATTAAACCGACTTTTCAAGTGTCACAACAATAAAGCTGCTGGCCATATAAAGCGAATGGCACGCCAATCCGTATGTGGCGAGGGCTGAGCTAGACTAAACTAAAGTAAACTAAACTAAAATAAAATAAAAGCAGACACCCAAAGCAGGGGCATGCAAAATAGCGCAAATTATAATGGAATCATGGTTGAATGCAGACAGTCGCTGTGGATACAATGTCGAGTGATTAACAGACATGGCTGAAAAAATCAAAAAATCCAAAAACACCGTGATGTGGCAGGTGCCGTACATCAAATACTCTGAAAACTAACTAACGAATTTAGCAATTTTCAAACGAATTTAAAGCACTTTTTCATGGTGTGGAAAACAACTTTGCAGCCAAGCCATGTGTGAATTTAGAAAATTCTAGCCGGATTCGAGCACAAAGTGCTTAGACCAGATACTATCTGTTCGCATATTACGTATACGTAATACGTAGCCGAGGAGGCAGGCAAGCGCAGCGAATGCCAACCGGTTCGAGAGCGCCAATAAAACCAGGCAGCGAAGACAAAGCTCTGCGGGCTGAACATGAATATGAGTTTATACAGATATGCGGCTTACGAGCATGTACCTACAAGTGCGGTCAAAATAATAGCACTAACGAGGTCTGGGAACCACGACAAAAAAATATGATTTGAAAAAATATATATATTAAAGACGAAATAATTCATAACTTCATCTCAATTTCTCTATTTAAAAGATGAAAAAATTCATAACTTCATCTCTATTTCTCTATTTTAAAGATGAAATAATTCAAAAGTTCATCTCTATTTTAAATATGAAATAATTCATAAATTCATCTTTATTTTAAAGATGAAATAGCTTCCTAGCTTCATCTCATCTTTACCAACAAATGTAAGTCCACTTAAAGAACAACTTGCCAAAGATAACAGTTTCAACATATTTGGTTTTTGGACTTGTAAGGATAGAGCCTTCGCTTGTAAGCCCATATTTAGAGTTGATTAATTTAATTAAAGGTTTGGAATATCAAGTATTTCTTTTTCCACAACTCAGCTATATTTTTGCCTACAACTGTTTGTATTTACGTGTACATATTTTAAACGAAACGAGATTCTTTTTGGCGGCGACACTTGTTGCGCGTGGGTCGATGGAAATATTGGAGCTGTGGCCCGAAAACAAGGAGCTGCTGGGATTTTGGCCAGCGTCATGATACCAAAGTTACCGGTTTCAGGTTTTTGCTTATGGCATCGAGTGTGTATTCTCTGGTGAAATTCTGTGAATTTAGGCCTTTGTTGGTGCGTGTAAAGTGAATGTTCATATCGTTCGTACCGCAACGATGCCAATACGGAAATGGTTTATTTCATTAGTCGCCTCAACGCCTTAGCGTGAGACTCAAACAAAGAAACCGAAACGAAGAAAAAGATGGTCTAGCAATGCGATACCATGTATGCATACGAAGATGATCTTTTGTTTATTGGAATGCAGCAAGTGCAAGGCCGGCAGTTTGACGATCTCTTGCCGTTGATGTTGCTGTTTCTATCCGCTCTTCACGCATAAACAATTAACAATTAACGCTGCAATGCAGCTGGAAAAAATCCAGTTGATCAACGGATCGAACGGTTGATTGATCGCCTGACGCATTAAGGTTAAGATTATTAAGTGCCAAACGATGTCATTGTCTTCCACTCGGCTCTTGGTCACGTAAGAAATCAATAATGGCTGATAGGAACGATCAGAGCTAGGAAATTGGTTTTACAGATATGTTTTACAGACATGTTTGGATTGCTTCATTCTTTAAGTGACTTTATTTCAGTTGGTAATTTTTCTTTTCTACATCTTAAATACTCTTGAAACGAATATTACATTCAAGAATAAAAATAATCTTAATTTGCTTCAAGATATACATATGTACATTATTGTAATTTTATTATTACAATTATAATTACATTATAAAAATCTATGGCAATATTAATATTAAAATTGCTCAAAATAATGTCTTTGGTAATTCAAGTAAATATTTCCGGGATGTACGCATAGCGATTTCAATTAAGTTGCAATTTCTGAGAGAGCCCTGTGAAACCGCAAGTCACCCAATTGGAAATGTTAATTCGTTTTAAAGATCAATCAATTGAGTCACTTATTTCCAAAGTAGGCAAGTGATGAAAGCAAATTATTCGAAAATTTTAGTATTAAATGGAAATGTAACATTTGTGTTACACTTATTGAGAGAGCCCTGTCATCTGATTGAAAAAGTGCATCCCATTCGGAGATCCCCAACGGAGTGGGATCTTCCTGCATGCGACACGCTCATAAATTTTCATGGCCCCAAATGACTCTGACTTTGGGTCGGAATTTCCACGACACTTTCGCCGCTGGCGTTGCGTGTTGGCCAAAGTTAACGAGCCAAAGTTGAACGTGCCGCGGGTAAAAGTTAAAAGCTAAGCTGAGAATTTCCATTTAGCTGATTTGAGCTTGGGCCTAAGCATTGCCGGTTTGCGGGTTTCGGTTTCACCCGTGAAACATGAAACAATTACAAGATATTTTCCAATTGCCAAGTGAAGTTGCGTTCGCCGAACTCGCTTTTTAGGCGAGGGGTGCTGCGCTAAAAGAGATTATTGCATTTTCTACGCAAAGCCTTTTCTGTCGGATTACGTGCAACACTGAGCCAATTTTAGTAGTTGTTATAACAAAATAAAAATAATAAAAAAGTATTTAGAAAGGAAAAATATTTTAATTAGTATAGATCATTTCAAAAGACCTTTCAGAAGTACCATATGATTATGAAACATTTTTTTAAAAACAAAGAGCTCATGAATACTTCAAACTTGTCAACTTTTATGCGAAATTCGAATCTTTTAACAGAAATATTTTAATATTAAAAAAAGGGCCATTCGAACCACTATATGATTATGATACATTTTTTTAAAAAGCGAAAAACTCATTAATATTTGAACAAAATTTTAAAACTTCTACTCGGATCTTTTATCACAAAGATTTAAATTTAATAGAGATTTGTATGTTGTATTGGTTTTTATTGCCTCTGTACATGAGCATGCTCACTGGTTTTGCGAATTCGAATTCGCACTCTAGTTCGCACTGCACATTGCACACCGCCTTTTTGCAATAGTTGCTCATTATGACATGTTTTTTAATGCAAAAGTCATCGCCGTATTTGGGGAATTGCGATTCCTTTGGCCAATAGTTTGTTGAACGGTTATCTCTCTGTTTTTTTCCCTTGCTTCGCTTTGTGTTTCTTTAAGACTTCTTCAAGGTTGCCTTGAGTTTTAGCTTGAGTTTTATATTTCTAGACTGGTTTTCGTTTTCGCTAAACAATTTCGTCATCGCCAGCTAAGCCAACAACAAATTAAATGGGGATTTTCAAGGGGCGTTTGGGGGGAGTAAGGGCAAAAACAACAATAAAGTCGGTTTCAGTTCGTGACGTCTCCAAAAGCAGCAACAACCACACACACACGCGCAAATAATACAACAAAAACTCGTAATGCAAAAAGTGCACTAAGCTAAGCTCTCTCTCTCCTTCTTTCACTCTCTTTCTCCCTTTTTTCTCTCTGAGAGTTTTCCTAAATTTGAGATGCAATTCATGCTTTTATTTGATTTGTTTTATATTTCTCAGTTTGACATTAGAGCAACATCATAAATTATCCACTGGTATTCACATTTATCACACGAATTCTTTCGCGTTTTTAAATTCCCGAGACGGAGACCCGTTTTATTCAGCGGACCGTCGGAGTTGAGCGCGTTGGAACGAATGAGAGGCACCAGATGCCCGTGGAGAGCAGCAGCTACCCCAACTCGACGCCACACTCACACCGCGGGCAGCAACTGCACACTGCGTCCACTTTATGGGCATTGTACACTTCGAGAAAGGAACGGGTTACTTAGAGATCAAGCCCATCTATTACCAAGACTAATTTAAAGATATTTTAGTTCTAGTCAAAAACAAACCATTTATAAATGAGGGACGTATTTCGATAGTTCCAAATTTGATTAAGAATTTTACCGAGTCAATATATAAAATACATGTTTTTAAGCTTTTTAAAACTTGAACTTCAAATGTTTTATCTGATTGACGTCCTTAAAATTCTGTTGTATTTTATAAAATTACCAATAAGAAATGGAAAAAGTAAAGAGTATATTCGAACGTATCTCAAATTAGTCACAAATATTCGTTGAGTTTACTTCAATCATAACTTTTTAATTTTACCAAATATGGAAACATTATTGCTAATTCAAAAGCGTTATTCTAAGATCCATTTCTGAATGGAATATGGTTCTGGAAGATTTCTGTTAATTACCCTAAAACCTACATAAAACTATAAATGTTGAGAGTATGCACCCAAAAATAAATCCATTACTCATCCGCCATGTAGGTCACTATTGGCGGAAATGACAAAAAATATTGGATAAATCTGTTTAGTTAAATCATAAGCTCTACGTAGAATATTCCAACATAATGATATTTCTGGCAGTGTGTTTTTTTTTGTGGAACCTGTCGCCCTGTCTGCTCTCCCGCCCAAGTTTTTCTTCACTCTCACTCTCATTTGTAAAAAGGTGGCTTAATTATCCGCTCTGTTAGCTGCCTTTTGAACAATTCGTGTTCCGCTTCACATTTGGCATTTGCTTTCGAGGAACTCAGACGCCGCTTGGGGCAAAGTTTTGACTGGACCACGACCACTTATGCGTATTCATCGAAGGCAAAATGGTTAAGTGGCCCCTACTTGGGGCAATTAAACAGTTGATAATTATTGCTTTGGAGCGGTGAATATTCACAGCTGTGGATGGTATGTGTGGATGGTGAAGCTTAGCCCGGACACGAACCAGCGATCAAAGCTAGGTGCGTCAAAAGCTTAGCCTTAACTGAAAGCTCGAAGGCAGGGGAATCCCCTTTATTAGATTTTTAAGAAAAGAATTTCAAAGAATTTTTTAGTGTTCAGAAATAGATAGCAGGACAATAATTTTAGATGATGGAGAAAATCAGCTAAAACATAATAATAAGCCTAAAAAAAATTTAAATTATTCGATTTGGATGTTGGGTTTTAATATTATTTTCAGAAATATGAAAACCATTTAAGGAATTAAAACCTAAACCCTATGAAGTCCTAAGAACTAAACTAAATTCCAACAGCTACTTAACCAGTAAAGTTATAAGGCTACAAAGTAAGTGAGGTCAGGGACTTCACGCGATAATTCAACCCCAGTCCACAATGAGCACTTTCTTAGGTTCTTTAATTCAGATACTTAAAGCCACGTAACTAATTCGTTTTCTTACTCACCCTCTATGCAGCTTATCGCCTTCTTTTGTTGCAGTCTTTTGTCTCTGATGCGTTTCGACCAATCCGGACTCCTAGTGCGATGCGGCTTAAACCTTTCCCGCACACTGAAATAAAAAGGATAAAATATAAGAATAATATTGATTTAATTGACTTAAAAAAGTTTTGGTTAGGTACTATATAGTTTCACAAACGATCGATCAAACTAATTCCATACAACTGATCTCCGCTGGGGAGTTCCAACAATTGACTGGCTTGATTGGTGTTTGGCTCTCAGCATTTCTAGAGTTCCTCTCAAGAGGCCCGCCAATCTTATCGACTGATAACGGAAGAAATTGTAGGTCAGCGTTCTAATTATTGAGGGGCCCCTCGAAATGGGGAGGGAATTGGACTGTGAAGTACTCTCAATCACCCGACGAATGTTGCAACTTTAAAATTAACTCTGTCAAATTTTAACACTGTCATTCTGTTGTACTAATTAAGTGCTAACAAAAAGTTATGGGGGTGACAATTATCGGAGTATCAGAAAAACTATTAAATGATCATTAAATGGCTGATGTAGATAAGCTTATTTAACTTTTGTGACTTTTTTTATTTATTTTATTATATTTTTGTCACAATATTTTCCAACTAAACTTTGGTTAATTTATAATGTAGCCCTCGTTTTATATATTAAAAAAGTCTGACTTTCATTGTTTACATTTAAACGAGATTAAGCAAATACATAAGTAACAGTGACTAAATGTGGACTTTTCGGTTGATAAGGAATGAATTTCATTTGTATACTACAAATTTATAAAGTATATTATTGCTCTTCTACCCTTTGAGACCTATATTATATATTCTATATACCCTATAAAAATCAGAGATAAAGATCCAAATCCCCGACCGCCTTGACCTGCTTGGCAATATAGCTAGAAATATATGGGTATTTATTTTGATATTTCCCTGTTGCAACCCACCATGCACCATTCATTGGCTGCAAACACAATTTTCGACGGCCCAAACCCCTGCGACTGCCTGTCTTTTATCAACCGATTAGATAAGGCCAATCCAAACAAACTGATAAGCAATCTACGCAGAATTTATATTGCCCAGCTGTAGGAAAGTTGCAATTTCAATCGCTTTCCGTTCGCAATCGTTTTTGCTCAACGGGGCAATGAATAATAGAAACAATAGCATTGCGATATTGTCTCCTCGATTCGCACAATTCATATTTATATCATTATTCATATTAACTTGACCTACACACTTGAGTTTATTATTTTATTTTGTGATAATAAAGCCCAAATCATAATAAATAAAATATAAATTTTAATCAGTCAGAGTTATTAAAGTTTAATGATGAAAAATTCCAATGCTATGAACCCCTTAACTACTATTTATAACTTGAGTTTCCTAATCAAATTCTAGCAACTTAAATCTTCTAAAATGAATATATATTATGGGCATACTTACACAATAAACTGGGCCTCGTTGGGCGCCGCCTCCATCGTCGCCTGTCCAATCTCGCCGTCCGAAATGTCCACCCAGGCATCGCTGTTGTCACTGGAGCCCGCTATCGAGGATCTCTTCTCTCCCGGCTTTCCGCTGTCCCTGCTCCCGGCACTGCTGCCCAAGGACGACCTGCATCCCACACTGGAGCTGCCGTAGACCACGCATCCGGTGGCCGCCAGCGAGGATTCGTACAGACTGTTGGTCTTGTGGTCCGAGGAGATGGTCAGAGTGGAGCCACTGCTCGACAGCTGGATGCAACTCTGATTCTGATTCTGAATCTGATGATGACCCGTTGCCCCGCGAGTCTTCCGGAAATGGGTGATACTCTCGTAGCAGTTGGAACTCAGCGAAATGGCATCTGTGGTTGGAATCCCCTCGGTTGAGGACGTCGTTTTGCAGTGCATGGACTCGTAGCAGCCCTTGATCGTATCGTATATGTTCTCATCCTCCTCCGCCGATCCTTTGGCCTCTGGCTTCGGAGGAGCTGGACGCAGCGGCATGGGGGATTTATTCAGCACCCTCTTGGGTTTCGGCAGTTCCGGCAGCTCATCGCGGGTATTCCGGCCCAAAGTACCCGTGGCCGAGGGAGTTGTGGGCGTTGCTACCACCTCTTCGGCGGCAAAGGACTCGTAGCCATCGTAGGCCTCCTGGGATCCCGCTATGGACTCGTAGCCCTCCAGCCAGTTAGTGGGCTTGATTTTCTCAGTGGCTGCCTCCTCCACCGTTTGGTAAATGTCCTCCACAATCTCCGCTTTCTTGGTGGATATCTTAAAGAGGCTGGAAGTTGGGGTTTCAGTCTTGGTCTCATCGATTAGCACAGGTGTGATGGGTTCGTAGAGGGATTCGGGCTCCTTCTCCTCCTCCTCCGCCTCCTCCTTCAGTTCCAGCTCCCGCTCCCTGACCTTCATCAGTTGCTTCTGCTCCATGATCATCTGCTCACCCTCGATGGCATTTACGAGGGTCACATTCACCGCCTGGTTGAGCAGGATCTGATTGTTGGAGATCTGCTTGTTGGCCGCCTGGTAAACGAAGGAGCTGTTGGGCAGGATGCGCTGCTCGAAGTCATCATTGGCAGCCAGCAGGAGTTCGGGTTCACCATCTTCGTTCGGTGGACTGAGGACCTTGAGCTTTTGGTCTAGAGCCTCGAGGGCATCTAGGATTTTGGCATCGGCCTCCATGCAGGGCGATATGAGCAGGGCGGTTGAGGGATCTTCCAGGTCTTCCGCTCTAGGTGTCACCTCTCTGGGAATCTCCAGTTGGAAATCTTCCTTCGTGGTAACCTCTTCTTTGGGTAGATCATTTACTCTCACTTCCCTGAGAGTTTCCTCATCCTCGGATATCTCTTCCCTTGATCTGCCTTTTGTGGGCGACGGACTCGCTGATTTCCTACCTTTCGCGAAGGTGAATCGGAGTTTCTCGTATATGGAGGCATACTTGTGCTTCCGCTGCTTCTGACGCAGCTCCTCCACTTCCTCCGCCTCCGCTTCTTCCTGCCCCAAAATTAAATCCAGCTCATCCCTCTGAATATTGGGCAGAGATTCAGCTGCTTGCTTTGGTTGCTTAGCTGGCTCCTCGGCAGTGCTGACCTTGAGTTCCTCCTTGACCATGGACAATTCCGCTGGCAGCTTGAGATTTCTTTTCACCCGCGGACCCCGTGGAAGATTACTGACCCTCATCAGCTCGAGATGTTTCCGCATCAGCTGTTCACTCTTCAGCGGAACACTTGGCTTCTCCAGCTTCTCGAACTTCTTGATGTTCCGCTGGACAGTGGAGATGCGGTTCTCCTCGGGGCTGGGTGATCCCTTGCCCTCCGATCCCGAGTTTGTTTTCTCCACGATCTTGTAGACGTGGGTTCCCCGCGATAGCCACACCCCATTGTTCCGCTTCACCTGCTCCAGGAGCCGCGTGTCCTTCTGGATAATCTCGTTGAACTGGTGGGTGAGTTTGGCCACCAAACTGATGCCGCCGCCGCCACTTGAATCCATGTTGCTTAATCTACGATGCTGCTGCTGATGATGATGATATGACCTTCCAGCATGGGTTTTAAAGCTATATTTGCGACGTCCCCCCGAGCGACCCGTCGACGACGTTGATGACGTCAGTGGGTTGTGGGTGGCGGTCGTCGTGGAGGAGGAAGTGGTCGTTTGAAGCGATTCGCTGCTGCCGCCACTTTGGGCGCTCGCCGCGCTGAGACTGAGACCCTCAAGGCGACTACGCTCCCGTTTGGCTCTCAGTTCCACCACCTCCTCCTCCTCCTCCGCCCCCTCCCCCTCCTCCCTTTCCCGCCCTCCCATCTTATCTCCCGCTGATAAGGCTTCTGTATTATGCGATTTGACTGCAGGTAAACCGCTGCTGTCGTCACGTTTCGCGCGCGTTTCGCTGGCGTTTAAAATCGCCTCGTCGCCTCGGCTGCTTCTCAACTTGGCCTGCATTTTGGCCTGCTCGGCGTTTTTGTACTTGTAGAAGTTGTCCTTCTCCCGCTGCAATTGCTGCTGCTTCGTCTGCGAGTCCTGCAAGTTGTGCAGGCTGGCCGCGCGTTTTGCCAGCGACTTTTCCGGCGTGGCGCAATCGCGCGAGTTGTTAAAGGCGTTGACCAGGCAACTGACGCTTTTGTTTAACTTCTTTAGAGTGCCCAACGAGGAGGAGGGTGAGGAGTTGGAGTGGGAGTGCCCCTGATCCTCGCTGGCGCTTTTGATGCGCTTGCTCCACAACAATCGCAGGGTTTGCACACCCCGGAAATCGCGAAATGCCCGCGATTCGCAGCTGCAATTTTGATTCGGATTCGCTTGGATATTCGAATTCGGATTTTGATTAGGATTTGGTTTATCTTTGCCGGCCTTATCGCACGTCGGCCGATTGTTGTTCTCACTGTCACTATTCACCAGCCAATTGATAATTGTCTTTTTCGATTTGCGCGGCGTTGTTGCTGCTGCTGCCGTTCGTATTGCTGTTGCTGTTGGTGTTGCTGCTGCTGCTGCGTTGCCATTGAGATCACGGCCAGCGGCTCTGGCAGCCGCATCCAAGACAGGTGACATCGCCATGTCGTTGGCTTGCTCCGATCTCGACCAGAAAGCGATCACGTTCTCGGCCAACCAAGAAGCAGCCGGTCAAGATGTTGCTGCTGCAGATGCTGCTGCTGCTGCTGCTGCCGATGATGATGTTGCTGCTGCCCCCGGGCCTAAAAACGACAAAAAACAGAGAGTGGAAGAGAAAGCTCGTGAAAATCTTGTTCATGCAAATGCAAATTGGGTGCCAGCTATTATATTTAAAGGCGTGGCTCATCACAGCAATTATGCGTGATAAGCTGGTTTGCGGAATTTCAAGGAGTTTCCCATTTTAAACATGGGTCTTAGTACTATCAAAGATAATTTATACGAACATGTGTGTACTAAAATTAAATTTAAATCATTTTAATTTTAAAAACCGTCCGTGAATAATAAGAACCTATTTAGTCACACTAAATACTTTTGTTTTGTTTTTTTGATTGCTAAGCAAAAAATCTTATAAATTATACATTTAATTTAAAAAAAAATAATAAAGCTTTTAGGATTTATTAGGATTTAAAGAAATTGTTAGCTTCAACAATTTTGAGAGTGCTATTATAATAAATATTCGTCACAGAATTTTTGTATTTTGAAGGTGCGATCGTCACAAGTTTTTTACCACGTTAAGGAACTAAAACAATGAAAACTATTTCACAAAGATCAAAGAACCATTTTAAGCCTGGTTCTAAAAAAAAATATTCCTTTTGTTTTAGTTTTAGAGGCCAGTTTTAGTAATCGAAACAATGGTTCTTTTCATTAAGAAACGCACCAAACCTTTGCTACCCACAGCCCTAAAGTATTTTTGACAAAATCGTGTAATCTGCAAAAGTATTTTAAGCCTCTTTTCGATTTTTGACTCATATTGCCTGCCCGAATCATGAATAGACATTATTTCCTAACAATTGTCAAGGAAGCCCATGACAAAAACCAAAAATAAAGAAACAAAACTTGAGCAAGCGAGAAATCAGTGCGGTGTACAACATTGCGTATGCTTGATACGTTATGAATGCGCTGGCTTATCGCCATGCGATCGAAGTTGGCCGACTATATATGAGTGACTGTATGGCATATGGCATTGCACAAACCCAGGCCACAATATTGTCTTGCCGCCTCTTCGCACCTGACAATTGTTTACCACCATTCCCCGCCCACCACGTGTTTTTTTGTCACACACAAATGCCAATTATAATGAGCGATTACATAAAGTCGAAACAATTTCTTCTGCCTCACATGCGGCATCGTAAAATGGCTTTTAAGCTGCTTTTGCTACGTTCGTTAGCCGTTTTCATCTGGGCTCTTCTCCTGCTTTCCTGCTTCTTTTCCGTCTGCTTTTTCTATATATCCATATGCTTTTTTTCTAGTTGTCACTTTTGCCTCGCACGCGGCAAGAATAATAAAGTTAATTTTTATTTGCCATTGCAAAAAGGTTTTTAAACAAAATATTATATACGAGCCAAACACACACGCACGACCAATGTAAATAAAAGAGCAAAAACTGCTGATTACGCAAGCGATTTGGGCCGACAATATGTTTTTTTTTTATAAGTATTACTCGCTTCCAAAAGGAAACCGGTGGCCAAAAAAGTGTTTACATAAAATGTCTTGTTTATTCAAAATGGAATTTTATTGGCGATTATTTGTCAATTGCAAGGCGGAAAGCAAACCGGCCCCCAAAAGGGGGATTTCCAGCCGAATCAATGCCAAATAGTTGGGTATTTTCAGATATAAAATAAAACCAATTAATATTTTTTATACAAAATTAAGGAAATTGTGGATGGTTTTAATGTGTTATCAATAATTTTAGTTACTACTTTAGTTTTTGCACTCTTGTATTTAAAACCATCAAAAGATTTTTAAAATTTATTAATATTTAAATAGAATTAGTATGGTAAATGGTTTGGTATGGTAATGGGGTACTCCCTTAGAACAAAACTTTCCCCAATAATTTTGCAATAATCAATTAGCTAAGAATCCCCAGAAAAGATCCAAAATTAGCTATAAATCTTTTGGCTTTCGACTTTAGCCGCCACAGAATGATAATTCCAATGCCTTTTATATAGAGTGGACTCTAAGGCCATTCAAGCTGTGCGGCGGTCAACAGCTTTTTGGCCTGGTCAATAAAAATGTTTTGCATATTAAGCAGCCTGAAAAACCGAAAAGGAAAATGTAAACAATTGACAGTCAGACACTTGGACAATATAAAAATCAACCTCATCTCGGGCCGAAGAAAAGAGGGAATAATAAAAAAGAAACTTGATGAGCTGCAGTTTTTTAGGCTAAGCTGCAGCTGCACCTGCCATACATTTATTATGAAGAAATATCGTTAGTATATATATATCTATAGGTATGCAAATGGCTTTCAACGGATGCAGCGTTTTGTTTGATTTCTTTTTGTTTGCTCTATCACAATGAACGGGTCATAATTTCTGAGGGCGGGCGAAAGATTTTCCCGGTGCTTTTAGGTTTTGGAAACCAAAAGGTATTGACAGTTGGAGTGAAAGTGATAATGATAATGGCCAGCTGACTTTGAGCCAAGAATCCGGCGATTAGACACGCGGCCAGCCAACTAATCTCGGCTTTTACATGCGAATGCGGAAGAAGATAACTAATGAAATGGGATGGAAATATTTTAATTTCGAGAAATTAAATCAAATGAAATTTATTGCCATTTTGCATAGGAAAACAAAAATAAAACAAAACCTGCCGCCATTAGAAATGTGAAAGTTTACTTTTCCTTTTTGCTGCTCTCTGGTTTTTAGTCTCAGAGCTAATGAACTGTCTTGGCCATGATTTAGCGATGCTGTCGACGGCTGACGAGGTGTTCGAAAAATATGTGGTAAAATACTGGGCTTACTTTTCGGTTGCACAATCGTATTGTTTTTGTATTTGACCACTGGACGTGAGGACCTCGGACTGTCTGAATTTTGTTGACTGGTTCGCAACTAACTAACCCTTTGTTTTTGTTTTGGCCGCGTTGCCGTGGTAAAGTCCAACCACCAAACAGCTCTAGCAGCCCTTAGCCAACTGAGGCAACTGGCTAGTCAGCTAGCTGCGAGCAACCCCTAAACGTTAATACACCACTGCGTATGCTTGACGTAGGGTAAACAATGCCGATGGGTCGATAGTTTGTGATATTCTCGAAGGGTAGTTCCTATTTACCACTTATGTACCCTCTTGAATGCTTGCATTATTCAAGCTTTGTTGCCTTTCTGTTTGAGTTTAAGTTAAATTTAATTTGCTAAATTGATGCACAGCACAAGTGACACACTTTATAAAAGTACTGCTTATCTGTCCACTGATTACAGTCTGAGTCATGGGTGTAGGCTTATCGAATGACAAATTGGGGGAAATTTGATTGAATAAATTTGAGGCCATTAAAGAGCTACACATACTTTTTTGCACAGTAAGAGTCAAAATCCAGCATGCAAACGAGCATTAACTGCATTCCAAGCTCGCTTGGTTGCCTCAGCGCCAAAGAACCGCAACTGTAGACTGTAGACTGTAGATTTGTAGACCTGTAGACTGGGTCTGAAGCTTGGACTAGGTCTGAATCTGGCTATAACCGCGTAAGGCACAGAGGCGTATAATTAGCGTGCAGCATTGGCAAAGTGAAGCTAATGGAACCAAACAACACACAGAAACATGGCTAACCGTAATTCTAAAACCGTAAGCGGAGAATCCGACATGACATGGAAGAAGAGGTCAGTTCGGAGGCCAATTCAGCCGTGTGCGAATGTGTGAAAGAGTTAACAGTTAAGTCATGGAGCGAACTGGCCAAAAAGAATGCGTTAATATGTGATTTCGTTTAATAACTTGTTGACAACCTTAACTGCATCCGGAGATTTGAAAAAAAGAAGCTAAAAAGCTTAGAAACTAAGCGTATTCGAAATAATACATCCTTTTATTACCATCGAATTTAGTTAAATTTCTACTTTAAACCTTTAACAATCTATACTTTTTATACCCGTTACTCGTAGAGTAAAAGGGTATATTGTATTCGTGCAAAAGTATGTAACAGGTAGAAGGAAGCGTTTCCGACCCCATAAAGTATATATATTCTTGATCAGGATCACTAGCCGAGTCGATCTAGCCATGTCCGTCTGTCCGTCTGTCCGTCTGTCTGTCTGTCTGTCTGTCCGTCTGTCCGTATGAACGCTGAGATCTCGGAAACTATAAAAGCTAGAAGATTGACATTTTGCATGCAGATTCTAGGAGTTCCTACGCAGCGCAAGTTTGTTTCAAAAGGGTGCCACGCCCCCTCTAACGCCCACAATCGCATATATACGATTTTGAAAATTTCAATATTTTGGAAAAGTAAAAATGCAGTTTTATTGTGTTTATCAATACCTATCGAAATGTAGAAGAAATTTTTTAAATCGGACCATTCGTTAAAAAGTTACGGCGGATCAAAGTTTTTCTCCATCTCTTTCGCACTCCCTTTAGCTGAGTAACGGGTATCTGATAGTCGGGGCCAGTGCTGCCATCACTCAGCTTGAAAAACAGGACAGATAAGCCAAAAAAAACAGGGAAAAAAAGGACAAAAAATTTTAAAAAAGGACAAAAAAAGGGACAAAAGTAAATGCGCCTCCATTTTTCTGTTTTACCAATGGGTTATATAATTACTTAATTTAAATGGATTTTATATTAAATTCAATTATGTAATGACCTACTGCGCCCGACTCACATCCTTCTTTGTTTGAACATTTTACCATGGTAAATTTTTGTGCGTATACGTAATAATCTAAAATTATTAAAATAATAAGAGCATTTCAAGTAACTATATTGGTAATACAAAAAAATTCAATATCTGCCTCAAACCCGAATAAGAGACGTTAAAATCTGAAATTTTTTTCTGACAAAAAAGCAGAGAGTAAAAGTTGAGAAATTTTTAAAGTGTTTTCCTCTTTTTTTTGCTACAGAAAAAATCGTACTATAAAGAAAATCCATCGACTGCTTTGATAATTTGTAAAAATAATTATTTTTTAAGTGCCGAACTGTAAGATTGATGGTTAAAAAGGCGTTTTAGCATATAAAAACAGGTTTACACACTTTCGACTGGCAAAAATAACACTCAAAACCTTATTTTTGAAAAAAGGACAGATTTCCGGATAGGGGATGTTTGAAATTTTTTCCGGATAAACCCGTTAAAAAAAGGACAGATCTGTCCGGAAAAAGGACAAAATGGCAGCACTGGTCGGGGCACCCGACTATAGCGTTCTCTCTTGTTTTTATTACTTTTGAATTAAATTAAATTCCCACTTTAAATCTTAAAAAACCAAGATTTTATTAATTTGTATTCTTTACAATAAAGATTAGAAGTATTGATTAGAACAATAAACTACATTTAAGCTTCAGTTTTAGTTCAAGTTTAGTTGTAAATATGTACGATAGGATCAATTTGCTTATAAATCCTGTTGTCAATTAAAAACCGTAATTTCTTTATTCGTATTCAAGTTACAGAGAACCGCTAAACTGCACAATTCCAAAATCTTTTAATTACCATCAAAAGTCGGCTTCACTCGATCTAATCCCAATGGAAATCGAAGTTTTAGCCAGGCGATGGGAGATTTGTAGCCTGTTCTTGGTGAAATTTCGCTTCTACCGATTTAGGTATGTATGTATGTGGAATTCGCCAAGTGGTTTGGCTAGATTCTTTCAAGAGCACACTAGCACCACGCAGATTTTCTTGTGGGCGTTTCACTTTTGCCAGCTTTCATTTCACTCTGGCCCCAAAAAACTTAACCAATTTGTTGCACTCGATTTCGGCTATTGCACTGCCTTTGATTTTGATTTTGCATATGCCATATTGCACATTATCTAAAATATTTATATGAGCGATTCCAGCTGAAAACACAATCAAACACAGAAACACGCGCTGAGGAGTGCCGAGAAGAAGAAGAAAGGCACGGCAGCAACTCCAAACGTCTCCAACGACCGACGACCGCAAAGCAACTGACGAGTGTTGCTGCCGTCGTCGACGTTGCTGCTGCTGCTGTTGCCGTTGGTATTGCTGTTGCTGCTGCTGCTGCCGTCGACGCTGCTGCTGCCAATGCTGCTTTAGCGCTGTTGATGGCTGCTGTCGATTGCCGTTGACGTCGCAGTCGCGGCTTATGTTGCTGGTGCGCCTGATGTTGCTGCTACTGATATTGCTGCTGCTGCTGCTGCAGCTATTGGTCTTACGGCACAGGGAAAAATATCAGAAGCTTTTAAGCTTTGTTTAGAACAAAAATGCATCCTAACTTTTTTTAAAAAGCCGTTCTAAACAATGGAAAAAATTAATTTATAAAATTTGATAGCACTATTTTTTCTTTAAAATTTTTACGCTGTATAAACCTTTCAACAAAATATTTTTCTGTTATTGCGGGTCAAAAATATTTATTTTGCGGTGATATGTTAAAGTCATATTTATTTCTCAGTGCACTACAACTTCACTTGGGAATCGTGGATCTTGGATCGTTCGTGGCGTTCGTCTCGCATTCTTGTGCATTGGCTTTTGGCGCTGCATTTTGTTCTGATTCTGTGTGTGTTTCTCTTTCTCTTTCTGTTTCTGTTTCTTTTTCTGCTGGCTTAACTTTTCTCCGACTGCCAATTGCATTTCTCCGCAGGCATGCGACCCACAAAAGAGGATTTGGATGTGGGGATACAAAGTTTGTGGCGGAACAGCCACAAAGAATCGCTTGTGCCCGTTCGTTCACACTGACTTCCTTGGCTCTTAATTAGCTAAACAAAATTTAATTAAGTCGCAGCGTCTCTAATTGATTTGGCAGCTCCATTAATTCAGGGATCGGCATGTCTGCAGAGTCTAAATCACTTCTTGAAGCGCATGGGAAGCGGAAACTGGTTTTCTAGTCTCAGAAACGAATGATTCTGCGAAGATTGCAGAGCTCGAAAAAAACATATTTCAATCAATGCCCATCAATCGGCACGAATCGGTTAAGCCGCTGTTAACGAAACCAGTTCGGGTTGGGAAATTCAATACCAGTTCTTGTCCAAGTTCAGCAGTGTCGAAAAGAGACGGCACAAAAACAGAAACACAAAAAAGTAAACGCAAAAAAAGCAAGCAAAGGCAATTGTAAACAAAAAGCACAAAAATAAAAGCAGAGCTGCGCCGGATCCAAAACAAATCAAATATTTAACGGCTGTTACGGAGTGAGCGAGTGGGATGGCCTGCTTCTGGGTGACCATTTGTCGCTGTTAAAAGGCAGTAATAGTTTAACCCATTGTTGCCTATTTAAAATGGCATGCTCAATTTGTAGAAGTTATTGTTTAAAGGCCGCCCAAAAACATGGTTAATAAATATCAAAAAATTATTGAAAAAGGAAACATTTTTTTAAAATAAATTTTAAAAACTTTACTTACTTTACTGCTCTAGTTAAGTTGCTTATTAAATTTTAAAATATTACAATGTGCACAAAAATTCCCCATTAAAAACTGGCTTTACACTTACTCATTATTGAAAAAACAAATTACTCATTTAAAAATGTATATTTACTTAGAACCATGAAAATATGAAACATAGTTCGTAAAAATAAATATTCCACGTAAAGTACTTTTAATTTCATGACTATTAGCATGCGACAGAGATATTTAATCAAAAGATACAATACATCTAGAATGCAGTCCTCCAGGAAGAATAATAAATACTATTAACTAAATTATAAAATGTTAATTTTGAACCACTTGTTAATTACACAGCTGCGATTTCAGCGGGTTAAGAAATCCACCGTGGAAGTGGAACAGTGTTAAAAGGAATTTTAGCATTTCGCAAAGTTTTGGCGCGCACGAAAAACTGAAAAATCTCAGCGACCTGCAAACCTGGTTTTCATTTTCCTTTTCATTTTCATTTCCATTCAATGCAATGCGAAAAACAGCAGAGGGGTACTTAAAAAAAGCGAGCAAATAAAAAAACCGACGCCCAAACATGGGCTTGTCAGCGCAACCGCTTTGTACTTGAGTGGATGGATCATCGTCATTATGTCGGGGGCTATGATCATCATCTTGGGAGGCTATTTATGAGGCTGGAGCACCCGGTTGTTCAGTTGTTCGGTTGCCACATGTGGCAACTTCATTTCCACAGCAGACACTTGTTGCCCCGCCATATCTTCGCATCTGTATCTTTGTATCTGTCTCTGTAATTTGCATTAAGTGGCTGATTTTCCTTCGGCTGATTTCGTTTTCGTTTTAATTTCTGGTTTTTTTTTTAATTCGGGGTGGGTTTTGGGCTGGGTTCCATCGGCGGTGGAGCAACGGGGCGTATGCGAAACAATGCCCATTAATCACCAGCAGCTGCGGTAATGCAAAACTTTAATTATCGTTACCATTTGAGCTGACGAAACTGTAGCGTTAGAAAGCCCCCAACTTCTTGTTTTTGTCTGGTCTATTTAATTTATCGTACGACTGCTGGGAGAGAGCAGAGCAGAGATGAAAATAAATTTAAGACACTTTCCAACTGCCATCAAGTGTCGTCGTTTTTCCACCGCCCTGCAAAGCGAAACGGATGGCAAATCTAATGGAAAACTGAGGTGTAAAGTGTGAATCTGAAGATTAAAGCCGGCTTAGTTGGCCTTGGCGGGGGTCTTCGGGTTTTTATGTCCCCATCTCAGGCCCCAAACGTGATTTGCTCAGAATTAAATCGGAACCACGTACGTACGATGGTCGCTGGTCGTGGCTGGTTGCTTGGAATCGTGTTTAATCACTAAAAAACAAAGAGTCCCCATATCGTCGGAAAGTACAGAATTAACTCCAAGGGGAAAGTGAGCAAATGTGTGGCCAAATGAATCAGCTTACAAGGGAATCTGTTAGTCTTCTGCGTATTACATTAATCAGCAAGCTTAAAATATTCCTCAATAGAACGATAAAAAAACGTGGTTATAAAAATAAGGAACTAGGTCAAATTAGTTATAATTAATAAGTAATCATAATATATTTAATTACCCTATAAATATAACCCATTTATTAACGATTGGTATTTAAATATTCAAATGAGCTTTATTATAATAAGCATTTTTGCCTCAGCATCAGCAAATTTCCCCAATGTAAATTTTGAAAGCTTCTTTTGCGGTTCCATCTTATTATAGGAAATGCTTCGGGACTTCTTTCTCTCCATCCGCCAACCAGTTTTGATCTCTTATTCATGGGCAGTTGATGTCTCATCGATGTTTTGGTTCGATCAACGAACTCTCTAGGCCAAATTTGACGTTGTATCAACTTAGTATTTGCTTCAGCACCTCAAAAAACAAAATCGCCCACACTCTTAGGGTGACACAGTTTATTCAGCAATGAACTATATACATAGAATGCTTGACAGGCCACGAAGAAGATATTGAATGTGAAACGATTGTCTCACGACCTGCGATTGTGGCCAAATGCCGAGTGCATATCAATTGGGGGAATTTCACAAGCCAAAAAATAATGGCCAGCCCCGAAAAGAACCTGCTGGTGAAGCAGCTGACAGCTTCATTGGCATTCGCAACTTCGATCAGTGATCAGCGATCGATCGATTAAGTCAACATAATTTACGGTGCAGTTTTCACATTGAAAATGTCACCAAGCATTTCAGCGATGGCGATGACGCGTTTGTTTCTCCTATTGTTGTTTTGTTAAACTTGAATATATTTTCATGCATTTTTTGCACCAGTAACTGCTGATGCTCGAGCTACAAAGTTCAATGGCTGGCACGACGAATGCATTCGCCAAGCAACTGGCCGAAATCTGCATAGGGAAAAAATATCACAAGAAATGGTAAAACATTTGGTGGTTCTTCTTATAAAATTTAAAAAAAAAAGTAATTTCTTGAATAAGGTCTATGAAAGTCCAAGACTATATTACAGGAAATTGTGAAATATTTTGTGGTACTTTTAACACAATTTCTAAAATATGATTCTTTTAAAAAGTCCATGATCTATGATATACTTTAAAATTCTATATCTTCAAAGTTAAAAAAAATTAAATTTAATTTCAATCAATATGTCAATATGTATGCTACCATAACAGTAATTTATTTTAATATTTATTTTTTTTTAAGATTGTAAATTAAAACATTTTTATAGTAAAATAAATATTATCAGAAATAATATTAAAATGTTACTATTTTCTCTCAGTGCTTCCGCTGGCCACTTGAGTAAGAGGAATGCTTGTGCAGCTCTGTCTACAGGTTTTGACCAGCATCAGCTTCGCTTTTGGGCCATGAGTCACGGATTGGGGCTGAGGAATGCCAGGGAAAAGTCCCCCCAAGACTTTAGGTAATTCCGACCAGGGTTGTCAGCGCCTGTAAGCTGCACCTACGAATTACAATTACGAATTACGAGCATCTGAGTATCTATATCTATTTGTATCTGCGAGCTACAAATTCACAATTACGCCCACGCAGCACTATTTCGTGTGCGGCCGCCGTGGGCGTGAGCTCTAATTATACGGCCAGTACTTAGACATCTAACGATTGTTATGCAAAGAAGCTGATCTCAAGATGCTAACCCCCTCTGAGATCATGTGAATGAAAATGGAAAGTGGTTTGGTTAGCCCCCCGCTTAAGCCATGTATAATCTTTGGGTATAATTTGCAGACTGCATAACTAACAGAGTTATTATGGTGATTTCTTCTTTGACGACAACCGCGAAACGGAAGCTATGACCAGGCCACTCCACTCGATTCCACTAAACTGAACTCGGCAGACATTGCAGAATTACACACTCGTCACAATCAAGTGTGTGTGGACTGGTATTTGCCTTGTAATGAGGCCGGAAGAAATCGTGGTAATTGTAACGGTGACTACGACTCGGAGTCGCAATGAAATGGAAACTGGTAGTGCAACAATGAGATCCCTAGGTAAGCAAAGGCTGGGCTCTGGCCTCAGAAAACATGCGTAAGTTAGCAGTGAAGAAATGACTTATCACCGCGAAATATTAGTATTATTATGTGCTACAGAAAAACGCAATTA